CTCTCATTGCCGTACGCCCTGTGACTTTTAACAGAAGTGTAATGACATGTGTCCGTGATGAAATCATACACAATAGTTTCCCCTAAAAAATCCTCTGTGCTCCACCTACCCCCCACCCCCGAAAACCATGGATGCACTACCTCAGTAGTTTTGCTTTTTCAGGATATCCTATAGTTGGAATCACAAAGCATAGAGCCTTTTTAGTTTGGCTCCTTTCACTCAGCAATACGCGATGCGTGGGGAAGGTTTTCAAATGTAATTTACCAGTTGTAAATTTTCCAGTGGCTCTGAACAACGGTTGACGACAACAAAGAATTGACGGACATGAGCAACTCTGGTGCTGGTGTAACCCAGCGGACAGGGCCTCCCTGCCCTTGGTGCCTCCTACGTGCCCATCCCAAGAAATCCCACCTCTGGCCATTGCTTTATCCCGGCCACAGGCTCGCCTGTAACGGATCAATTCCTGTTTCTAAAACTGCTCATGTGGTTTCTCTCTCCATGTGCCACAGCTGGAAGGTGCCCCTGGGTGCTGGGTGCTGGCTGCTTATGACAGAGCTCCTCGTCCTTGGCTGGGAGAATCAAGACAGGATTTAAGCTGTGTTGAATTTAAGACTGAGAGCGTCCTAGATCAGTGCAGGGGGAAACATCTAGGGAAAAAAAAAGGATTTAAAGAAATTTTTTTTTTATTTTTTATTTTTTTTAGCAAAGAAAACCACAAAAGAGCATAACACCACCTGTCACTTTACCAGACCACTTCAAGGCCTACAGTTAGGGACAAGGAAAGAACTGCACTTTAAATGCTAATTATCTGGGGAGAAAAATGTCCCAGGAGGCCTCATTCAGGAGCAGCAGGAGGCGCCCCTCCCTGCTTCCCTGAGCTCTCCTGTGAAGACTGCAGAGAAGTCCCACCTGGGAGCGAGGCCCCTGCCTTTCCTTACAAGAGGAGGGTTCCACGGCCTGCAGTAATTAAGGCCATTCTGCCTCTGTGGGGAACACTGTGGAGAAGGATTTCCTGGCTGTAGCTCTTTCTCTCCCTCTAGGGAATTTTTAATTCCATCATCCTTGTATTGGTGAGTCATTTCTGATGGCAATAATTAGGACGACAAGAAGCTGAATGGTGGCTGGGACAACGGGTGATTTTTTTGGACAAAGCCCCAGGTGGGCGAGAGAAAGGAATCTCGGGCTCTAGAAGCTGCTTCCTGGGACTTTGGGAAGGAACGCACATCCAGCCCCATGAACTTGGGTGCAGGGGTGCAACAGGCAGAGCCCTGCTGGCATCCTGACTTTCCATGACCCCTGGGAATGAGAAGGGAGGACAGAACTGCCTTCTTGACAGGGGCAGCCCAGCTCCCCGGGGTTTTGCTGAGACGTGGGCGGGCGAAGAGCCGCACTGACGCGACGTGAGGCCGAACAGGCCGACCCGGGCAAGCAGCAGCCCCTCCGCGTGCCCGTTGTGGTGCCAGAAAGAAATGCAGAGCTGCTAGACGTCCCCTTAGAGCCCTGGGAGATCATCGCTCAATTTAATTTATGCAAAAATGCCAAGTTTTTAAAAGCGTTAGATCAGCGTGGTGTTATCTAGGGACTATCACGGCGTTGGATGGGAACGTTTTATGGAATTCTAGTCAGTAACTGGGCCCACGAGACCCCAGAAGGAAGCCCGCAAAGAGCGTTGCATTCCTCAGCCCCCGCGAGCACAGCATCTGAGAGAAGAAGCCAGACCCTTCGGAGTGTCCTCCCAGTTGCCCCCGGGACTTCTCTTCCCTCTCCCTGAGACAGTTGGAGGTTTACGACAAGCAGCCTTCTCTTAGATGTCATGGTGCTGTGGGCCTGGAACCGCAGTAGGCCTGGACGTAGGGTGGCTCCTCAGTGCACTGGCAACCGGGCCGGGCTGGCGGCGGGAAGCGGGGGGCATGGATCCATGCACATATCAGGGCCTCTGCAGGGAAAGCTGCAAGACTGGACTGCCCTGGGACTGCAGGGTGCTGTCAGGGTCCCGGCCTTCTTACGGGGCTGCTCAGGGTGCTCCCAGAGAGGCTGGGCCTGGAGCGTAGAAGCTTCAGGCTCAGTAGGGCCTGGGTGGTATTCTGCTGGTTGGAGGACCCGTGGGGCCTCTGCGCAAGGGGCCCAGACCCAGACATCACCCCTCGGGGGCAGAAAAACATCAAAGAGCTTGAAGTGCTTTTTTAGAAGTCAGATTCCCTGTGATATAATTTACAGAAAATGAAACAAATTCCCCCTTTTTAGTGTACGATTGGATACGGTTTGATAAACGCATGCCAGCCACAACCCCAACCACAATGGAGTTGGGCCATGTCTTTCACCCCCAAAACCCCCTGCGCTGTCCCTCTGTGCTCCCAAGGGGTTATTTTTTTCAGCATGTATTTTTTCTGTTCTTTTATTTGTAATCTCTTTGTGTCTTCACCTTTAAAGTGAGATCCTTTTAGACACCACACAGCTGGGCTTTTCCTCTCATCCGATAGCCCGTCTTTTGTTGGTATGTGTACTGTTTACATGCTACACGACTTGAAAAATGAGGTTAAAATCTATCGTCTTGCCAATTGTTTTCTATTTGATCCCTCTCCTGTTTTCTCCTTTTCCATTCCTTCTGCCTGCCTGCTTCGGGATTAATTAGATATTCCTATATTTACATTATTTTCCCCACTCTTGCCTTATCTTAGATCCCTTTTCTGGACTCGTTTAGTGATTGCTCTGGGGTTTACTATATATCTCCTCATTGAATCCCAGTTGATCTTAAAGTTAGTCCCGTGTAGGATGGATGAGCCTGGTCAGTGCCTCCGGGGCCTCTCCCCATCTCTCAGGCATTGGGACCCCTCATCTCACCCGCGCTCCTGCTGCAATTCCCGATGGAATGCTACCTCGGTTGCTTCAACAGTCAGCCATATTTGAGAGTAAGTCAAAAATAACAAAAATATTCTACCTACCATCATCTTAACCCTTTCTGGAAATCACCCACTTCCCTGCATAGATCATCAGCCTCGGTGTCCATCTGCTAGCACAAGCCTCCAGTGTTTTTCACAGCACAGGTGTGCCGGGAATGAATTCGCTCCGTGTTCGTCTTCCTGAAGATGTCTTTTATGACGCTTTTCCAGGACAAGAAGCCTGGGACCGGAGATTTTCCCATCAGTACTTGAAACGTATCACTCTACTGCTCCTGGCTCACTTGGCTTCCGATGAGAAGGCCCTTGTGATTCCCTCCTTTGTGTCTCCGCAGTATTGAACTTGTCTGGGCGTCCACAGCCTACACACACACTCTGTCCTCCCCCTGCCGGCCCCCACTGAGCCTCTAGCACTTAGTTAGGAATTTGAGCTGAGTTTTCCTTACCCAGCTATGCGGTGTCCCCCTGTCCTCTCTCCTGCTCCGTCCCAGGTGAGCCGGCACTCCCATGCTCTCTCCTCCAAGAGGCCCATCTTTTCTCAACATTCAGTGGCCACGCTGACCTCGGCTTTCCTGTGGGCTCAAGAGAGGTTCAGGTTTTATAGTTGTTAGTTCAGCTTCCTCTTGTTCTTGGATGTCACGTTCTTCCCAGCATTCTACATCCCAGGCACTATGATCCCCTGGCCTTTTTTTTTTTTTTTTTTTTTAATCTACAAAATGCGGAATGGGGAAATGGACCATTTGCTTGGTGACATGCAGAGGCAGGGGACAGAGGAATATCGCAGCCAGAGTCCAAAGCAGATGAGAAGAGAGCATGACTTGAAGTGTACTCTTGAGGGGCTTGGGGGAATTTTTTGCTTTTTTCACTTTTCACTTCTTTTATGCTTTTTTCACTTCTGCCTAACAAGATGGGAATAATGGAAGGCTTAGTCATCTTTAGCAGGACCATGCTCTGTCCCCATGTGCTCTGTGCCAGGAGACTCTATGTCATCTTTATTTCTTTACCTGGAGCCCAAGGATCCGTTTGGCTTCTGTGTGTTATTTTTGAAACAAGGCCCTAGAGAACCAAGACCTTCTTTGGCAGAAAGTTGGATCACAGCCTGTGGGATGGTCCCCTCCAAGGCCATGGAGGTCCCCGTCCTCCAACAGCTAGCCACATCACATCGCTGCCTTTTTCAAAACACTTCGGATTTCCCATGGTGTGCCATGTACATCAACAACCACTGTGTTTGGCACAAGGCAGTACCCAAGGCAACTCCCCACGCCCAGTTGCCCCTGTGTGCCCTGTGTCTAGCCCGCACACTATATTCTCACGGTACAAGAGGGTTTTGTAACACCAGGCCTTGCTCACTCCATCTTCCCAATGGAGAAGGCCCTTCCCTCTTCAGACATCTGCCCTTTCTTCCAGGCCTAGTCCAGGTGCCTCCTCATGGAAGCCTTCCGTGCTTTCCTGGGGCAGAGTCAGCTGCTCTGTCCTGGGCGTCCCCTGCCCCAGAGAGCTGTGTGCTTATTTCTGTTGCATGAGTATCTCCCCGAGTTCGCGACTTCTGGAAGACCGGCCATTTGGCGAGTGTGTAACTGGTCAATAACAGAAAGACAAAATGGTGGTCCCTGTAACAGACAAAGAGAAATTTAGCCTCCAAATGAATGAATAATCCATATGGGAGAGGGTGCTTTTTTTTCCCCCCATATGAAGGATTAATGGACTTGAAACATAGTGGTACCTGCTGGGGGAGGGGGTCTCTCAACAAGACCTTGCCTAGATCTCAAACCCTGAGTAACTGAGAAATGAACCAGAGAAAGCTCTCCTTAGCTATTTATCCGGGGATTCCTGAGAAAGCCTCACCCGTGGAATGAGATGATCCGGTCCACTTTTCCGCCGATGCCTTAAAGAACTCTCCCGCAGAAAATGAGAAATAGCCCCAGTTCTTTTTCTTTGTAATGCCACTATTAGCTTCCAGAAACATTTATCACACTTCCCTGTTCTCAATGCTGTAATGGCCTATGAATCATGAGTGGCAGCTAAGAGTTTCTTTCTCCTCTCTCCTCCCTACTGGGCCTCCTACTGTTTGTTTTGCCGTCTTCCACGACTGCCTTGGAACAGTGCCTACTGCACCCCCACAGAACGTGCAGACGGAAGCTGTGAATTCCACAACCATCCAGTTCCTCTGGAACCCTCCGCCTCAGCAGTTCATCAACGGCATCAACCAGGGATACAAGGTACACCGTTCAGCCCTGGGTGGCCGTCCTGGTCTGTCACAGTCTTGTGACCAATGAGAAGGCTGCCCACTCCTCATTTCATGGAGAACCTACCACATAAAGTTACCAAGTGTGTTAGCTTTGGTGGTCGGGTGGGGGTGTCACCATTTATCCAAGGTCTTCTCTGCTCTATGGGTTCAGAAACTCAAATTATTAGTTTTTAAGTGGGTGGTCAAACGTAACAGAGCGACTTCTTTTGAGAAAAGCCATTCATTTTTAAATTAGCAGTGGAAAACCTGTCTGGGTTGATTGGAATCAGTATTTGTGCAAACCACATCTTCCTGGAGAAGAGACCTCTCCCAGGAGCACCAACTTAGAACAAAGGGTGCTCGATGCAAGGGAATGAGACTTCTAACAAAAGAAGATATTTACTCCCTCCCCATCTCAGCTTCAGGGAAAGTTCTGTTCAGTGAATTCAGGACACCTACCTGGCCTGAATTAGAGACACAGATTCCCTCTGTCCAACCTCCCTCTGTCCTTAGCTACCAGAATCTATTACCTTCATGGATGTATTTGGATGCAGTTTCCAAAGGTGTAGTCCGTCTTGCCTTCTAGATCAGCTACTGGTTGGACTTGGGATCCCGTCCTGATTTTAGCTACAGCATAGTCACTAGTGGTCTGCCATAACAGGTAAACTCAGGGAAGATCCTTGTGGAGAAAGGACTCCACATGTTCTGCTTGAATTCTTGGTAATTTCAGATTCAAAGAGTATTATTTCCTTAGACACATGGTTCAGTTTTTTTTTTTTTTCCTCCCATTTGGATTCAACTTACAAAAACACTTTTTTGTTTTCATTAGAAAGGCAGAGGTAGCTAGGAATTTGCCCTGCCTTTTCTTTTCCTTTTCAATTCCCCAGAGGAATCTACTCTCAGAAGCTTTGTCTGAAAGAAAATCATATTGATCAACCAAGATGATTTTGCCTCCTTGACTTTCCTGTCAAGTCTTATTGGCAAGACCAGAGCATTCATTCGATGGCTCAGTGTGGGTTTGATCTATACAAATACGCTTTGTGTCCTGCAGCATGTCAACCTTCAAACCTAATTAACCCTGGAAATGTTTGGTTTCAAAGGAATTAAAAGTCATGCTCATACATAATGTTGCCCAAACGTGAAAACGACTTCCCTTGGAATGCGTACGTGTAGGATATTTCTTTAAAATTGGACTCGACCTCCTAAAATTCTTTTCAGAAAACTAGTGTGATAGAAATCGTAAATAATTAAGATTGGTTCCTATTGAATCAGGGGCTTGTCTTTGAGGCAGAGTAGATGCCTACCCGGGGGGAAAAAAAATCTGTGTTCATGTTTCGTTGATATTTGTGTTTATGTTTCTTTTTACTGATTAAGTCAAATAAAGATGGTGTTGTCTTTATTGCTTAGTGTTAAAAAACATTACACTCTGGAACATCTTTAAGTGAAGGTTTAAGGAGTGTCTATTATTCCAACATGGGTTAGATAATTTGTTTTTACATACATGTATAAAATATATGTATAAGTACATTTCTGTGTTCAGTTATCTGTGAGATGTTTTTTCAACTCCAGATTTTTTAGCAGCATTGCAAAATGTAAGCTTTATGGAGTTTCTTAGTCATGACTTTGCTTTCTTTGATGATACATTAATTACAAACTAAAAATCCTGATAACAGACTTGAGAGTGAAGATGTGCAGTTCAAAAGCATCTCTTTTCTCCACATGTCCCATCACAGCTCCTCGCGTGGCCAGCTGAGGTCCCTGAGGCCACCACTGTGGTCACCATTGCGCCAGATTTCCACGGAGTCCACCATGGGTATATAACGAACCTGAAGAAGTTCACAGCATACTTCACTTCCGTTCTGTGTTTCACCACTCCGGGGGACGGACCTCCGAGCACACCTCAGCTCGTCTGGACTCACGAAGACAGTGAGTACTGCTCCACTGTGTGTCTTCTCAACAGTCACAAGTCAGGCGTCAGGGAGGTCCCCACCACTGTCCTATCCCACACCGGGCCGGGGCTGAGGGCTCATCAGGAACCTCCATGTCCTCAGAGAGTTTGCGGTCTGCGTGCCTGAGGGAGATCAGTCAGTGGGAAGTATCAGTGATGAGCGGCAGGAGGTGGTCCCTGGAACTGGAAGCCAGGCTAGCCGAAAGAGCTCAGAGAGCCAGAGAAACAGTCTGGTCTGAGCCATGTGGTCTGCCTGTGGTCTTGATGGCCTTCTCTTCCCCCAGATTTCAATTTAGTCCCCTTCCCTTCTTCTTTTTTTTTTTTTTGTTCCAGTATTTTTTTAATTTAAATTTAATTAGTTAACCTACAGTATATTATTGTTTTCAGAGGTAGAGGTCGGTGATTCATCAATCTTATACAACACCCAGCGCTCATTGTGTCACATACGCTCCCCTCCTTAATGCCTGTCACCCAGTCAGCCTATCCCCTCATCCCCCTCCTCTCCAGCAAACCTTAGTTTGTTTCCTATGATCAAGACTCTGCTATGGTTTGTCTCCCTTGCTGATTTCATCTTGTTTTTTTTTTTTTTTTTCTTTTCTTCCCCCATGATCCTCTGTGTCGTTTCTTAAATTCCACATACGAGTGAGATCCTATGATAATTGTCTTTCTCTGATTGAGAGTTAGCTTAGCATAATACCATCTAGTTCCATCCATGTCGTTGCAAATGGCAAGATCTCAGTTTTTTGATGGCTGAGTAGCAGTTCATTGTGTGTGAGAGTGTGTGTGTGTGTGTGTGTGTGTGTGTGTGTGTGTGTGTATGTGTACACACACACCAGCTCTTTATCCATTCATTTGTCGATGGACATCTGGACTCTTCCATAGTTTGGCTATTATAGATATTGCTGCTATAAACACTGGGGAGCAGGTACCCCTTCAGATCACTCCATTTGTATCTTTGGGGTACATCCTTAGTAGTGCAATTGCTGGGTCATAGGGTAGCTCTGTTTTCAACTTTTCGAGAAATCAGTCTGTTCAAGTTGTGAAAAAGTTCAGGTGTATATGTTCCCTTATTCCTTATTCATTCCCTTATTCCTGCCAGGTCTCTGTGGATAGGTCCTCTGCCAGTTGAATGTTTCTACTCTTATAGGTTACAGACATCTCGTTGTGAGCTGCTTTCAGATTTTCTCTTTGTCTCTGAAATTTGTAAGGCTCACTACTATATGTCAAGGCATTGACCTATTTTTATTGATTTTGAAGGGGTTCTCTGTGCCTTCTGGACTTGAATGCCCATTTCCTTCCCCAGATTAGGAAAGTTCTCTGCTATAATCTGCTCCAATATATCATCTGCTCCTCTTTCCTCTTCTTCTAGGATCCTAATTATTCTAATATTGTTTCATCTTATGGTATCACTCATCTCTCGAATTCTCCTCTCACAGTTCAGTAGTTGTTTATCTCTCTTTTGCTCAGTTTCTTTGTTCTCCATCATTCGGTCTTCTATATCACTCATTCTCTCTTCTGCCTCGTCTCTCCTTGCAGTTAGAGCTTCCATTTTTTTATTGCACCTCATTAAGAACCTTTTGATTTTGACTTGACTAGATTTTAGTTCTTTTATTTCTCCAGAAATGGATTCTCTAGTGTCTTTTATGCTTTTTTCCAACCTAACTAGTATCTTTGTAATCATTATTCTGAACTCTAGTTCCAACATCTTACTTAATGTCCATACTGATTAGGTCCTTGGCAGTCGGTACCGCCTCTTGTTCTTTTTTTTGAGGTGAGTTTTTCCATCTTGTAATTCCGTCCAGAGAAGAAAAGATAAACAAGAGAACAAATACTAAAATGGCAATAATGACCTCAGAAATGTACACTAAACAAATCAGAAGAGACCAGAAACTGAAAGAGAGAGAGAGAGAGAGGAGAATATGATCAAACATGTGAAAGAACACAGCAATACACTGAGTCCTATGTGTATTTTGGGGTGTTTGTTAGAAAACTATATCCCAAAATTATAAATATAACTAAATACATAAAATAAAACTAAATACATTGAAAGGATACAATATAAGTATAAAAATGAAAATTAAAAGACAAAAAAAGAAGGAATATAAATAGACAGGTGAAGAGAACAGAACAATACACACTATATCCTGAGTGTATTTTGGTCTCTTTGTTAGAGGAAAGTACATCCCAAAATTGTAAGGAAAGAAAAACTTATATTTTTGTAAAAATAAAATTAAATACAATGAAAGGGTAGAATGAAAGTATAAAAATGAAAATTAAAGGTGATTTTTAAAAAAGAGTTGATAAAATAAGAAATTGGTTGAGAAAGGAAAGAGAAAAAAAATAAAATTATCAGACTAAAAAACTGTGGGGAAAAAACCATGAATTCTGTGTACTGTTTTCCCTTAGCACTGGAGTTTTATGGTTCTCCTTGACCAGTAAACTTGGTCTTGCCTGGATGTTCTTACTGGTCTCCTGGGGGAGGGCCCGATTGCATTGACTCTCAGGTGTCTTTGCCCCTTGTGAATGGCATCACCATTGCCGGGGACCAGGCTAAGTAGCTCAGGTTTGTATTATGTGGCTTTTGTTTCCTGAAGCCTTTCCATGCCATTCTTGAGGATGAGAATGTACTGGCAGCCTCCCAGTCTCCAGCCCTGGAGCCAACAGCTTGGGGCCCCACTCCTCAGTGAGACATCAGGGAAAAGCAGTCAGTCCCCCGCCCTGGTCTCTGGACGCACTCCATGCTCGCCTGGCCTGTGACTGAGCATTTCTATCTCAGGCACATGACCATGCTTTGGGTCTCCACAAGCTGCAGACTCCCGTGGCACCCACCCACACTGCTCCTCCCCGGGAACAGGGGTGGGGGGTCTTGCTGCGGTCCTGCCGCTTACCGGGCCCCTGCTCGGAGTGCGGTCACCCAGCCATGCCACAGTTCCAGTATGAGGCAACCCCGAGCTAAGAGCCTCACTCCTGGGCTCAGCGGCGGCAGGCGGCTTCCCCGCTCTGAAGCCTGGGAGTTCTACTGCAGTCAGGCACCCCGGCGTTCCCGTGACCCCAGGGATCCTGAGACTACACTGTCCCACCTAGGATTCTGCCCCACTATGCTGCCTGAGTGCCTTTCAGGCAGGGCCGTCTCTCACCAGAGCAGACTTCTAAAAGTTCTGATTTGTGCTCTCCTGCTCTATCACTTTCTGGTGCCCGTTGATGGAGGCTCCCTCCCACCACGGCTTATCTTCCGATATATCGCCTTGGATTCACTTCTCCGCACCTCCGAACTTACGGAGTTGCTTTTCTATTTGTAGAACTGCCACTGTTCTTTCTTACATCTCCGCTTGTGTTCACGGGTGTTCAGAGTGATTTGATAGCTTTCTAGCTGGATTCCTGGGACCAGATAAAACTAAGGCCTCCTACTCCTCCACAATCTTGCCAGATCCCCTTACCTTCTTCTCGAATGCCCTGTCAGGCCTCCCAGCTGCGCCTTCCCTGACCCTCCCTGGGGCATCTCAACCCAGCAGCCCCTCTGAGCACCTTCACTCGCACTGTCCCCATCTGCTCACTTCAGACCAGCTCCTTCTCTGTCCTCGGGTCAGCTGACACCTGTGGAAAACATCATCTAGTGAAGCTCTCTGAGAAAATGACCACAGATGTGTGCCAAGACTTGAATACGGGAAGGCTCATTGCAGTTATTTGTAATTGGGAAAAAAAGAAAGAAAAACATGCAAGTGTTCCAGAGGGGTGTAATTTTAAAAATTATGGAATGACAGTATACTAAATATTTTGTCGTTATTAAAAAGTTTTTTGAAGAAATGGTCATAATCTACTGTTAGGTGAAAAAAATAATATGCAAAACTGTAGGAGATCCAAATTTTATAAAAACACACTTGTATGACACACAGTTGTTAGCTCTACGTGGTGTGATCACGCATGTTTCTACATTCTTTGGATTTTGCCATATATTCTTGTTTCTACAGTGGGTATGTACTCTCTTTATCTCTTTATATTAAAACTAATATATGTTTAAGAAAAAGTCACTGGGGGTTGCTACTCGTCTGTACTCCAGCTTCTTCCTGTCCCGGCCATGGGGCTCTGGGTGTGGCCGGCCTCCTGTGCCACCGGGGGCATCGTGGCCCAGCCTTGCCCTGCTCCCTGAGGCCTCGGCTTCACTGTACTCACAGAGGCAGCATTTACAGAGGTCAAGGCCATCTGAGATGAGCTTCCTCCCCGTCTGCTCCCATCTCAGGATCCCTCTGTTTTCACCCCAGTTCCTCTCTATCAGAGGATGAAGACTGACTAGTTGTCAGCCCACAAATATGCCCAGATCTCCCTCATCCAAAAGTGGCAACTCCGTACTCGCCCCGACCCACTGAGCTCCTGGTGAACTCACTTCCTTCTCTGAGAAGCTATTTCTTAGACCCCTAACCTCTTGCACCCCCGATGACCCCTAGCAGCCACTCTCACCCCAGCCCTGGACTATGACCTCCTTACCAAGCATTCAGTTTTGTCAGCGGCTGCGACTGCAAGTGACAGAATCTTGTGATTTTTCTTTTCAGCAAGTTGTTGGTACAGTGGATTGATTTTCAAATGTTGAAGTGGCCTTGCACACTTGGAGGAAATCCCACCCGGTCCTAGTGTGTAATTATTGCTCATGTCGTTGGCTTTAGTTTGCTAATACTTTGTGGGTGATGTTTTGCATTGGGATTTCATGGGAGATACTGGTCTGCAGTTTTATTTTCCTGGACTTTCTGTCTGTCCGGGGTAATGTGAGGATAGCGCTGGCCTCCTAAAGTAGGTTTGGAAGTGTTCCCCTTCTCCTACCTACATTTCTTTCTTTCTTTCTTTCTGAAAGATTTATTTATTTAGTTGAGAGAGTGCATGAGTGGGAAGAGGGGCAGAGGGAGAGGGAGAATCCCAAGCAGACTCCCCGCTGGGCACAGAGAGAGCTCAACGCAGGGCTCAGTCTCACAACCCTGACATCATGACC